GCAGAGTTCAGCTCCTCCTGAGCCTGTCCCGCAGAGTTCTGGAGCTCCTGGACCTTGGTGATCTGCTGGCTCAGCTGCTCCGTGAGGCGCTGCTGTTCGTCCACCACCAGCAGAGCAAAGGACTTTAACTTGGTCAACTCGTCCTTTAGATTTGTGACTTGCTTATTACTCTCCTCTTCCTTTCTCTCCTGGTATGTCTTCTCCTGATCAATGAGCTGTTTCAATCTAAAAACAGAGTAGAAAAATGGAAAGCTTGTTCAAATGAGTTGTGCAGACAGCATGATAAACATCTTCTAACTGTTGTGTCAACTGCCTAAGACTAAAGTGAGAGTTTTTGACTCTTCTAAAGTATAAAATGACCATAATAAGTGCAGATGTTTAAGAATCAGGCTAAGTGAACATACTTATTTATCTGAAAACCAATGCTAAAGTCAATTATTCCCCAATGAAAGTGTGTGTTCTGTGTCAGAATATCTGTCTTTGTTTTCATCTGTGTAACTCCACCCACTGCTAGTTATCCAATTATAATTCAGCGCCCGGTGGAAATTTGACAATATTTGCACATTTGCATGGACGTCATACTAGCATGGATACTTGTTTTGGCCTTCTCCTGATGATGTCCTCAATCTGGCAACCTTTGAGTGTGCTAGTCAGAGGAGTCGGGAACATAAGAATCCAATAATTTGAAATTGGACTGCAGAATCTAGTTTGACCACTGGGTCAATCCTGCCTTCATGCCATATGAGGATCTATATATAAATGGAGGTATAATCGTAAGTCAAAGCCTGCAGGCTAAAAGTGGGGCAGTGACTGTTCCAAAGGTACAGAAGTAGGGGAAGTAATTGGGGTCATGGTGGCTGGCAGAGGTTTCCCCACTCCCAGAAACCATCATCAGTGTTTTGACTACAGGACACAGCTGCCAACCTGCCCTACAGAAGCACATTAGTGTGGAAATGGAAAAAGTTTCTTAATAAGGGGGTTCCTCTGTCTCCCCCACACCCACCACACCAGCACCCTCCGTCAGTGGGTTTATATTTTAAGGAATTCCCCATCCTCCATTACTGCCTGTGTAAACAAACCCTCTTTCAGAGACTCACAACAGCGGTGGACAGGGATGAGGTCAGTGTGTGTGTGTGTGTGTGTGTGTGTGTGTGTGTGTGTGTGTGTGTGTGTGTCGCTCATACGTGGCTCCGGACAGTCATAGGTAATGGAAAATCAAATATAAAAGTACCAGAACACTGCCTGAAAGCAAAAGCCAGACTCTAGAGATGCGGGATCATGATCAGTGTGCAGCGCTCTACTGAACAGGAGATCACAGCATCGCTTTACAGAAAGCAAATGCTGGAATTATCTGTGGCGTTCCTCGTTCATCTGCCACTTCAACAGCCTTTAAACCATGGTGGATCAGCTTTAACAGAAAGGCAAGAGCTGAACTGTGTCAGACTCATTCTCTGCCTTCACTGAGCCAAGAACATGATGTGTGAGATGACGATAGCGAACACTCCCTGTACACAAACCTCTTACTGTTAATGGCATGGTAAACTTAGCCAATCACTTCTCAGATTAAAGCCAGAGCAGTTTACAGCACGGTAGCTGAAGACAGTTTACAGTATGCTGGAGTCCTCCTAGAAGACTTCACAGCCTGCAGATGTGTGGTAAAGCAGTGGATGTGTGTGGTGGGCAGCACTAATGTGCAAGCAGAACCGCAGAAGACAAAGCCCTGTGGAAAGTTATTAAAGGCACAGTAGTGTCTCTGCCGTTTCCCATCACTGAAGGGCATAACTTTACTATGGAGTCAAAAAATGATCATTAAGACACAGCCCATGGGGTACCTTTATTATTTTTCATATCAGTCATAAAAACACATTTTGTTTCTGTCGCTGCATTCTGTTACATTGAACGCTTTTATTACCAACTCTATTATTATCAACTACCGTCAACTCTGTTATCAACTCTATTATCGTTCACTGTCAACTCTATTATTATTAATTCTGTTAGTCAGCGCTATTATTATTAAGTTTTTTATCGTCAGATGTTATCGTCAACTCTGTTGCTATCAACTTTCTAATCAACTCTATTAACATCAATTGTTTTCATCAACTCTGTTACCAACTCTATTATTGTCAACTCTGTTTTCATCAACTCTATTATTATCAATTTCGTCAGTCAAAGCTATTGTGATCAATGCTATTGATGTCAACTTTTTTATGGTCAACTGTCAACTCTGTTACCTTCAACTCTGT